AATAAGTCTAGAAAAAACAGACTCGGCGGGCCAACAGCTTGAAACGTTTGCACCTTCAACGTGCGCAGCTTTGCAAAAAAAAAAAAAAAAAAAAAAAAAAAAAGAGAGAGAAAGACAGCAATAAAAAACCAACAATAATTTCTGAGGCTAGCCATGCGCCAAGATGGCCTACAATGTGCCATTAAAGTTGGCCAATGCGGCCAGAGGTCTGCCATGAGAGAGCTGCACCAATCTTTGCACACTCTTTAACTAATGTTTCGTTCTCCCTCCATTCCATTTGCAGATGAACGACAGCACATACAGAAGAAAACTTTTACGAAATGGATCAATTCACATCTAAGCAACACCCAGTGCACACCAGTTAATGACTTGTTCCTGGACCTGAGAGATGGCCATCGCCTGCTGGCCTTGCTCAGCACCCTGACACAAACTCAGCTGGTAAGTGCTAAAAAATACCCTGTGACTGGAGAAAGTTTTGCTGGGATACCTTTTTTTTTTGTGTGCCTTGAATATATTACAAATGGAACATCAAGCTGAAGGAGGCGGAGCCTATTCTGCCCGTTCGCATGTCTGAGCTGAAGAATGAAGAAACCATTAATAAGGAAGGATGAAGGATCAAACCTAGTTCACTGGATCTTCTAATCGTTCAATCCGATTATTAATTTATTTACTTTAAATTCGAGTCTCGACTTTGTTGTCTTTTCTACTATGATAGATTTCATTGATATATAAATAATGTTATGCTTGTGACTCTTGCAGAAACCCGAAAAGGGACGCATGCGCGTGCATCACATCAACAACCTGAACAAAGTGCTGCAGGTGATCCAGCAGCACGGGGTCAAGTTGGTGAACATCTCCAGCGACGACATCGTGGGTGGCAATCCGAAGCTGACGCTGGGCCTCATCTGGCTGATAGCGCTCGAGTTCAATGGCCAGCATCTAGTCAAGAGCCATTCAAGCAATGGCGTTGAGAAGTCCCTGCTGGCCTGGGCGCGGCAGTACACAGACCCGCACGGCTTGGCGCTGAATGATTTCGCCAGCTCTTGGGCAGATGGGCGCGCCTTTCTCATGATACTCGCTGCCCACCTGGATGAGCTGGACCTGGAGCGGGCGCTGGCGCAGCATGCACTGCAGCGACTGCATCTGGCCTTTGACCTGGCGCACCGGCACTTCAAGATCGAGAAGCTGCTGGATGCGGAAGATGTGCACACACACAAGCCGGACAACAAGTCCATACAGATGTACGTGATGTGCCTGTATCATGCCATGGAATCGATGCGAGCCATCGAGCGCGACCGAGTGCCCTGCACAAGCATCACAGACCTGGACGAGGTGCCGCTCGATAACGAGCGGGAGCTCTACGCCTCGGACAGTGCGACCAGCATGGAGCTGAAGTCGCCGGCCGAGGAGAGCTCGGTGCGGCCGCTGAGCACGGCGACCAATGTGAGCGTCGAGATCAGCAGCTATCAGGCGGCCTTGGAGGCGGTGCTGACGCTGCTGTTGGAGGATGAGCAGCTGCTCTCTCAAGATCTGCCCGAACCAGAGAACTTTCAGGCGGCCAAGCTGCAGTTTCACGAGAACGAGAGCTTCATGCTGAAGCTAACCGAACATCAGGAGTTTGTGGGCGAGGCGCTCGAGGAGGGCAGCAATCTGATCAATGAATCGCAGAAAAAGGATGGCTCCAGCCTCTCGCAGGTGGATCAGAATGAGGTGCGTCAACAGATGGTCCTGCTGAACGAGCGCTGGGAGACGCTGCGTCTGCGCGCCCTTGACATGCAAGCCAAGATTCTGATGCGGCTGGCAGAGTTCCAGAAACAAAAGCTGGAGCAGCTGCGTCAGTTCCTCACCAATGTCGAGGATCGCATCTCGCACATGAGCGACCTGGGGCCGACCTTGGCCGAGGCCGAGCAGCAGTTGGCGGAGGCACGCCAGCTGAAGGCGGATCTGTCCGAGCAGCAGGAGCTGGTGGATAGCATTAGCAGCATGGTGGTCATTGTGAACGATACCTCTGGCAATTTCAACGATCTGGAGGATCGCCTGAGTGCGCTGGGTGAGCGCTGGTCCCACGTGGTCAAGTGGATAGATTTGCGCACCGAGAAGCTGCAGCAATACAAATGCATCTCGCGCTGGCTGGATGCGCGCGAACAGGACCTCAAGCGCATGGAGAGCCGCGATGTCACCGACGTGGGCGGCATCACACAGCGCATCAACGAGCTGAACTACTGTGCCAAGGATCTGCTCGAGCTGCAGCGCTATCTGGTCGATCTGCGGCAAATGGTGGCCGCCACGCTGCAGGATGGCGATGACAAGGGCGAGCGCGTACTCATGCAGCTGGAGAGCTATGAGGATCGCCTGGATGCACTCAAGCAGATCCTGGAGGTGCAAACGCAGCGCATCGAGTCGAAGGGCTTCAACTTTGGACGTGAGCGGGCCAGCTTCGATGATAGTCGAGTGCTGCGGCCAGAGGGCTGGGTGGACTATCAAATGATTATACGATTCGGCGAGGACGAGGGCGAGGAGGAGGACGAAGATGAGCCCGAGCAGAAGCAGTCACAGCAGCAGCAGTCACAGCAGGAGTCACAGCAGGAGTCACAGCAGGTGTTGCAGGAGTGGCAGGATCCCGAGTTGCCCAGTAAGAAGTTCAAATTGCGCGACTTTTTAGAGATGCAAACTCAATATATGGAGCGTCGGGCCAGCCAAAAGAGCAAGACCAGACTGCTTTCCGAGCAGCGCTTCTTCAATAGCCTGATGGGCTTCAAGCTGGTGCTGGCCGACTCGCGGGACTGGTACAAGCAGCACGCGGGCTCGGCCAGCTGCCAGGAGCTGGAGCAGCGACTCAGCCACATGGACTCGCTGTCCACCGAGATAGCTGAGGCGCGCGAAGCCACCGAGGCACTGGACGACCAGCATCTCGAGTGGAAGCAGGACTTTGGCATCTTCTACGACAGCTGGCACGACATGAAGCAGGCGCTGCAGGCGCTCATAGAGCAGCGTGGCGGGGAGAGCATTGCCCGGCAGCTGCAGCAGCTGGAGGCTTTCGTTGGCAAGGTGGCCGCCCAGAAGGTGCGCGTTTCCAATCTGGAGGCCATGCAGCAACAGCAGCAGCTGCTCAATCAGCTGGTCGACGAACTGGAGTCACTGAAGTCGAGCTACGAGTCGGTGCCCGCCCATATGATCAGCGAGGAGCTGCAGGCCGCCTGGCAACGGCTGCCGGAGCAGCTGAACGAGCGGGTGATCAAGCAAACCACCGCCATAGAGAACTTCAACCACTTTGTGGCCGAGTACAATTCCATAATTGCCGTGCTGCGCAGCGCTCCACAGGTGCTGCAGGCGCAGGATCTGCGCAAGCTGGAGATCGATGTGATCAGTGCACGCAATTTCAGTGAGATTCTGATCAAGGAGGCGGAGCCGGAACAGCGCGAGTCTCTGCAAGCGCATATACGTACGCTAAATGCCCTGTACGATCAGGTGGAGCAACTGCATCAGGCACAGCGACAACAGCAGTCGGCACTGGAGTCCCAGAGCGATGCGATACAAGCGCGACTACAGCAGACGGAGCGCTGGCTCAACGAGCTGGAGGCGAACACGCCCAAGTCCGGCATTGCCGAGATACGCAATTCCAACGAGCTCTTTCAGAGCAAGTCCAAGTTCCAGACTCTCAAGGAGACGTGCGAGCGCGAGGCCACGCAGTTCCGGGAGCTGAATGAGCTGGGCGGCGAGCTGCTGCTGCAAATGGACGAGCTGCAGAACAAGGAGAAGGACTCCAAGTACGGCTCGCTGGCCAAGCAGTTCACCCACCTCAATGCTCGCTGGACGGAGGTGACGGAGCGGGTCTACACCAAGACTGCGCTGCTGGAGCACATCTCCACGCAGCTGGGAGAGTTCAAGAAGTTTATGGTCAGCGAGACGGGCTACCTGGATCGGCTGGAGAACAAGATACGCAACACGCCCGAGAATGCGGCGGATGCCGAGGAAATCATAGAAGAGTTAGATGTGAGTTGGTTTACCTAAAATATGATCAAGATGTTCATGGAATTCTCTTTTATAGGATCTGGAGAACGTGCTGCGCTCCCATTCCGACGAGTGGCTGGACAAGATTCAAGAAATTGGCAACGAGCTAATTGACAATGAATTTATGGCCGATGCCATGCGTAAGGACATCGATGGCATTGTCGAGCGCTGGACACAGCTGCAGCAGCAGGCCAAGAAGCGCACCGAACTGCTGGAGGAGAAGGCCAGCGAGGCGGAGCAGTCCGAGAAGGCAATTGTGCATCTGGAGAGCTGGCTGACGCGCATGGATGAGATACTCAGCGACCATCTGGAAAACGATGTGACCATTGAGGATCTGCCCGACGACTTCCAGGTAAGACACCAGATATCCCCAGTCAGACAACTTAATCCCGGCTATATAAATCCATAGATTCTGGCACGTGAATTCGCCATTAATGAGCAGAATTTCAAGGAAATAAGCACGCTGATTGCAGAGCACACGGCCAATGGCAAAACGGGCGCCGCCAATCGGCTGCAGGAGCAGCTCAACTTGATGGAGACGCGCTTCAAGGTCTGCCAGGCCAAGCTCAACAAGTGCACRGCGCCACAGGCCGCCTACGAGTCGCGCCTGAATCGTGCCTATGGGGATCTCCGCAACGTGGAGCACTCCACGCTGGTGCTGGACGTGGCCTCGGCGGGACCCAGCACGGTGCAGGCGCAGTATCAGAAATGCCTGGTAGGATAGATAGCAATCCAATTGCCCAATGAACTGATTTAATATTCCTACTTATTCCTTAGCAAATCTATCGCACCCTGTCTGAAATCAAGTCGGATATTGAGAGCACCATTAAGATGGGCCGGCGCGTGTGTGAGGATATTTATACAAAGAGCCCTAAGCAGTTGAGTCAGCGCATCGATGCACTGAAGCATCTGTACAATTCGCTCGGCGAGAATGTCACCCAGTCGAAGGCCTTCCTCGAGGACCTCATCGAGCTGGCCAGGCAGCTGGAGCACTGCTTCGATGCGGCCGATGAGCTGATCAGGCGCTTCGAGTCGCCCCAGGAGGTGCACGACCGCAACTCCATACTGCTCAAGTTCGAGGATGTGCTGCAGCGCTGCGAGCAGCACTACAACGAGTACAGCAAGTCGTGCGACAAGAGCTGCATGCAGGACACACGGCAGCGCATCGATGGCCTCAAGGCCACCTACCACAGGCTGACCAGTGCGGACATCATCAAGCGGCTCACCGAAATGAAGGCAACGCTGCAGAACTTGGACAACATTTCGATGGAGACACTCAAGTGGGTGGCTTTTAATTTAATTATTTATCAGAGTAGTGCAGTGGAGGGGAGAGGAGAGCTGAGCAGGGCAGAGCACTCATTAAGTCGAGTGCTTGGCAAGAGCTGAGCTGATATAAGAGCAGCTCTCTGATTTGTCATTGAATAATTAGTTAGAGTGTGTGGGTTGCCGTTTGAGTTACCCACGTAGTTATTCTTACTAGCGGATAATTTAAAGGTTTAAAAAGGAAATATTTTAATTTATAAATTATATTTATAAACGGTCTGATTTTTAAAGATTCAAAATTTAATTACAACATGTATTTTTAGTTAGCTAGGCTTACTGTTTGCTTCCGAGAGTGAGCTTCAATGCTTCCTGCTGCTCACAACTGTTATAGAATCCTAAATCATATGGCTGTCTTTTAACTTTATAGCTTGCTGAAATATGATATACTTTGTCTTCATATACGAAGATACTTATATCAAAATACTGTATATAATCGAATCGTTATAGTTTGTTTATCTTTTAAGTCTAAATTTTCCATACATTTCAATTCGGAATATGTTCCATGCAAACAAAAGATTATTTTTTATAAATTTAAATTTTGTCTTGAAACCCTTTACAATTGGAAGAAATTAAATATCCATTATTTTCAACTATAGTTAAATTTTGCAATCAGCTATCATTTTGTATATGTTTATTATAAATTAGGTTTCCAAGTTAGGGTAGATTTACAAGAATCAAATTAATGTCAAATAATATAGTAATAGCTGAGGTGGTAATATAAGTTGATATAAAGCCATCAACAATCCTATCACTTCTACACAAAACAAAAGTAATTTAAATGATTTTTTTTTTTATTATATTTGCAGAACCATGGAACACGATCTTAAGGAGATAAATGTGCCATCGAATCCGGAAATTGAAAAGCTGCAGCAGCAGGTCATTGCAATAGTTGTGGTGCGTAGAAAACGAATGCCAATTTAAGATGTTCGAGCAATCCGCACTAATTACCGAAATGCCCTCAAGATAGAGATCTGTATATAATTACACTAGGCTAATGGTTGTTGTTGTCTGTTTGAATGTGCTTTCGAGCTACTTTCTGTGTATTCCCTAACAATTTGGCTTAAAATTCGCTTTTGTTTTCATTGCATTTCATTGTATTTCATTTCATTTCATACACACTGCATCATGTTGTGTGGTTGATGGTGTTTCCTTTTCATTTTATCACCTTTGGTGTTTTTATATATTTTTCTTTCATATGCAACATGCACTCACACACACACACACACCTACCTATGCATGTGCTGCTTGCGGCAACTGCGCAAAGAGAATCGAATTTCTCATCTTTGATCACATTCGCATTCGTATTCCATTTGATTTCGTATTGAATCTTATTCAATTGAAACTTTAAGCTTAAAATGCAAAAAATGAGAAAGCTTTAAATTAAGTTGCAAACTAATCTTAAGTTAAGATCTTATATATAACTGATTTAATTATTGTAATGCTCTAACTAAGCGGTGCTTTGCCATATACTTATATCATTGTATCATTGTACTATGTACCCCGGTACATTATAATTATTTATTTTGTTTAAATACATTATTTTTTATTTGCCACTTCACATACCACACCCATTCAATAATAATAATAATCATAATAATCATAATAATAATAATAATAAACAAAAGGACAAGTATAAAAGTCAATACATTCGCAATAATCTTTCCACCAAGCTAATCAAGAACCAGATTTAAGTTTACCAACAACCATCACCCAATACAACCACCACCACTACATACCAGAATCACCGTATCACTAGCTCTACGAGGTCTAACTTGGTGTCATTTTCACGCTTCAAATTTCCAATTGTACATTATACGTATATATACATATTTGTATGTATGTGTATATATCTTTGTTTTGCGTTATTTGGATTTCTTGTTACTGTCCCTCCTCCACCCTGTCCATCCACAAAGTAAAAAAACATTTCAAAGGCGTTCAACTGTGGTTATAGTCCAATCAACACATCCCAACAAGAACAACATACTCGTATGTCCATGGCTATCTGCTACTCCTCTCACCAACGCTTCTGTACAGCAACTGCTTTTGTGTGGCCAATCATAACATAGCCCCGCAACCGCCCCCCGCCCCCCGCCACATGGGTCGCGACTAAGGCTTCACATGACCATAATACTTTAAGGCGCTGCGAGTGCTTTGCTTGAGTAGAGCTTTATTAAATTCTGTGAAAATATGCATCCTTCGCACAGGATACACTGAGAACGCGCTTCGACGAGACATCAACGCTGGCTGCCCCAGCCGATGACGATACGGAAATTGTGGTTGTCAGCGATACAGTGCGTCAAAGACGCGCACGTACACCGCAGGCCGGTGAAGGCGGCACGCCCAACACAAGTCTCACCGAGTCACCGCAGTCAGCGAAAGCGGACGCCCAGCCGGGCTCGAACAGTGGTGAACAGGTGCTGCCTGATTTGCTTCCACCTCAAACGTTTCGTTTGGCTGAATTCAGCACACTCTTCTCGCAGATATCGTTGAATCCGAACAAGGCGATGGAGTCGCCTCCGCCGAAGCCGGCGAAAAACAAACGCAAAGCGCCGGCAGCGCCCGCTCAGGTGGTTGAGATAAAGGTGAAAAATATTGAGAATGACAAAATGTCGGTGCAGAATATTGCGCTGGAGCCGCACCAGGGTGAGATTGTGGACACGGTTAACATTTTAGAGAGCGTAGAGCCGCTGCTGCCGGAGTTTGTGCAGACCGTGCAAATAGTGGATTTGTCCGAGGACTCGGATTCCTCGCTGCGAGTCGATGTAAACGGCAAGGAGGTGCGACGCAGCAAGAGCAAACATTCGCTATGTGAATCGCCGGGGGCCAAGGCAGCAGAAGGCACAGACACAGATCGGGATGCGGATGCGACTGCGAATGCGGATGCGGATGCAGAAGCCATGCTGCGTCCTGCTGCGGGCAACACCAGCACCCCGCTGCTGCGCGTGGCGAAGCAACGAATATCCTTCGATGAGAAACGCAAACGCATTGCCCATGAGCGTGACATACTACGCGACTCCGAGGAGGAGGAGGCGCCACAAAGTGTGGCAGCGCCCACTGGCAGTGCCACAGCAAGTGAACAGCGACCGAAGGCCAAACGCTGGCGTCAGCTGCAACCAGAAATGGAAGCTCTGACACCGGACACCGAGCCCGAGTCGCCCATTCGCAATAGTTTCTATAGCGCCGACAAGGAGACAGGTTTTGATATTGAGCCGTTGGTATTCTCCGACGATGAAGAGATACCGCGCTTCTCGCTGGAAATGACACCAACCTTCGACTCCGATAGTGATACGGTAATTTGGTAGAGCTTGGATCATCGATTCTATTTATTTTCGCCCCACCTTGTTTTCTATGTCTGTCTTTTCTTATCGATCAACGCAGAGCCGCATTGAGACGCCCTCCACGAAGAAGCCGAACTCGTTCCTGAGCAAGGTGCTCCACTCAATGCCCTCGCCCCTAGACGACTCGAATGTAACCCTCAAGAGTCCGCCCACTGAACAGCCCGCAAGCGGTCCCGCCAACTTGGCCCAACGCGTTGAGGATTTCAATAAGAGGGCCAAGCAGATGATCTGTCAGCTGGAGATGACCAAGACCAAAATCGAACAGTGTCCCGAGAGCGAGGCGTAAGTTTGAATTGAGTTGATGAATGAAGAGAATACTCATTTTATTTTCGATTATTTTGCAGCGAGCATCTCCGCATGCTCATAGCACCAGATGCGGCCACTCTGATCTCACAAGGTGATTCCTTGGTGCTGGAGACGCATGGCAAGCATGGCAGCATCTCGCGCCCAGTCATGCACACGCAGATCTTACTCAGAGAAAAGTTCCGTGAGGTGCAGCAAGCCAAGTAAATAGTGAATTTTTAAGAATTCTTTTCATTTACTAAGAGTTTGCCTTTGCCAACAATTTTAGGCCTAAAGCAACCGGCAAGTCCAGCACTGAGTCCAGCACAGAGCTCGAGAAACGCATGGAGGACATCAACGTAAGTGTGACCAAGCTAATTTTACGCTGGCTTCTATCCAACAGTCGAAACATGTGGTCATAGAATGACGCCTAGTTGCCCGTGGCTAAAATGACTTGAATAAAAATACCCTGTAGCCTGACAAGCCTAAGCAGGTCTATATGACTGAGTCTATTCTACATCTTTATCTCGTGATTAAGAAAAGCAAAGTCATCATATCTAATTTGTCTTTATAGACACATGGATACATAAATACATAGATACATGGATACATAGATACATAGTTACATAGATACATAGATACATAGATACATAGATACATAGATACATAGATACATAGATACATAGATACATAGATACATAGATACATAGATACATAAATACATAGATACATAGATACATGGATACATAGATACATAGATACATAGATACATAGATACATAAATACATAGATACATAGATACATGGATACATAGATACATAGATACATAGATACATAGATACATAAATACATAGATACATAGATACATGGATACATAGATACATAGATACATAGATACATAGATACATAAATACATAGATACATAGATACATAGATACATAGATACATAGATACATAGATACATAGATACATAGATACATGGATACATAGATACATAGATACATAGATACATAGATACATAGATACATAGATACATAGATACATAGATACATAGATACATAGATACATGGATACATAGATACATAGATACATAGATACATAGATACATAGATACATAGATACATAGATACATAGATACATAGATACATAGATACATAGATGCGTGGATACATAGATACATAGATAAATCATCAAGATTATTTTTAATTAATTATATCCAGCTAGACTTTCACAGGGTATTTTCTGGCACATGCAAAACAAGTGAAAAGTTCGTTTGTCTTTATTATCGCCGTGCGCAATATACGTATTTGTTATGTATTTCTATATTTTGCATTATTTGCGTACTAATTTAGACATCTTTGATATTTTCGCTCTTGCGCCAACCACAAGTTAATTGGCCTCTTGAGAATTCAGAGCAACGGCACAGGCCGCCAAACAAAACTAAATGCTGCCATTAGAAATACCCCAAAATAAACCGAAAATTTTGACATAGTTACACACGGTCAGCTCGAGACATCGCGTCGTGCGCTCCGACATTAACAACATTAACAACAACAACAACAACACCAACAACTGAAACATTTATATATTTATGTGGCGGCAATTCGTATTGGGGAAACAGTTCAGAGCGCATTTGAAGAGCGAACTTAAGAGATTTCTTTTTTGCAGCATGCACAAGTGTTGATCGACATATGGATTGTTTAATTTGTGTAGTGTCATGTTTAATACAATAAGGAAAATTGTCATTAAATTTAGAAAACAAATTTTGTAGAAATATTTGGGTCAATTTCAAAAACAATTTATGAAACTGTGCGAAAGAATTGTTCTCTTTTTTTGAGAGAAAAGCATAGGTAAAACTATAGATTTTTTTCAAGTTAACTTGAGCAAAACATCTATTAAATTATTCTGCATTTTAAAACATTTTTTTCTTATTGAAATAGTAGATTAATATATAAAGTAGACCTAATATTATTGGCACTCTTCAAGAGCACTAGTTTTACTAATTTTATACATACTTCAAACTTTCACCAAACAACAAAAAAATGCAAAAAATTTTAAAAATATTTTTTGGAATTTAGATTGAATTTAGATAGTCTATCAATCGAGTAGCTGATTAAATTAAAACAAAGTTTAGTTATTTCTTCTTAATTAATTATCTACAATTTCACTAGTTTTAATTGGTTTTAAAGTTTTTGTTTCATTCATTTGACAAATGGTCTTATTTCCTGTCACTGTGTGAAATAATAAATATCAAAAAAGTCTCCCCAGTTCGACAATGTCGATCCCAAAACAGTGACATGGCCTAAAATCCATCATTAATCAATTCGTGCATGGTTTGTTTATTTTCGTTGTGCTTCTGTTTTTTTTTTTTTTTTTTTTTTTCTCGCTGGCCCCAAATGACAAAGAAACAAATAAAGAAAATAGAGATGGAAAACTGAAAACAGAAAAGTGGGAAACCTATATTTAAAAATAGCATTTCGAAGAGCGCAACTGCGTGGCAAGCTGAAGAGAATTTTCTTGACTCAAACTAAATTTGCTCCCTTTGCTGGCGGCGTTGATGCTTTGTTGTTTTTGTGTTTTCAGTCTGCGCGCGGCTAAAACACGCAACGGTCGTACCGCTCAAAATTTATTTCGTAATTAATTTGATCGAAGTCCATCGAGGAAGTTCGCTTGGCGCCAAAATTGTTTGCACCGGGCGCTCAAATGCAATTTTGCTGGCTGACCCAGTCCGTCAGTGCGGTATACGAAGAGACCCCGCCGAGCGATACACTCCCACTCCCACAGTCACAGCCACAGCCACACACATTGCATCGAGGAAACACTTGCATGCAGTATTCGTGCCCGTTTACAGCCGGAATTGAATTTCAGTAGCGCCCCTTTGGCCCTCCTCCCACCCGGCGGTGTCCGTCTTTCCGCTGTGCGTGCTGTCATTTCCACTCAAGCATTTTCTTTCTCTTAGTCTTTTTTTTTTGTTACCTTTGATCGCACGCTGATAAGCGATAAGTAAATTGAACGGCTGGTTAAACTCTTTTCGTAGGAACGCCACGACGATCTGCAGGTCATTTCTGGCGCCGTTGGCAAGAATAGCCAAAAGCCAAAGGTCACGCCTGTCATGATGAACGAAATCGAAAAGGTTAAAAGCGCACTTGGCGCCCGACTAAATTATTTTACTAACACAGCTTTCACTACTTTTCTATTCATTTCTGCTTTATTTTTTTTTCCTTTCTTTTGCTACAGACTAAAAACAATTTGATTGCTCATGCCGATAGCATAGAACTCTCGCTGACGGAATTGAAAAATGTCAACCAAATGGGCAATGGGACTGGCGCCACCAACAGTCGACAGGGTAAGTGATTTTTACTGCTTCTGATTAGGGCTTATGCGGGTATATTAGCTTGGGGCAGATGTGTGCAGAAAAGGGTGTCAAACTTGAGATCAATTACGATATATTTATATGTTATATCTCGTTGAAAATTGGAAATCATACAATATCAGTTTGAAGTCTATTAAAGATGTTATGAAGATGTAGAATTTTCTAAGATATATTTCAGTTAATTAAAGGTAATACTTCGAAAATGATGAGAAAAGAGGGCACATATATATATTTTTTTGTATAGGGTCTTTTGATATATTCTTAAAGGCTCGAATATAAAGGGTTTACATTTAATTCCATATAAAATTCATGAATCATATCACACTAAAAAAAAAAAAAAAAAAAAAAAAAAAAAATTATTTTTATAATTTACGCATAAATTCAGCTACAAGTTTCAAGTTTCCCTTTTGAGCTTGACTATGAAATATGCAATTTCATATAAATATTGAATTTCATATGAATAAATCATAATCATTAAACCGATTGGGGGGACAGAATCGAAGCACTTCAATTGGCAAATTCCAAAAAAAAGCGAATAAGCACGAACGCATCATTTGCTTCATAATTGTTTTTACACATTTTCGCTTTGAAAGTTTTTGATTTCATATTCTCGGCTGCAGTCGGCCATATTTCGTTGCATTTTATGGCGTACTCTTGTGCCCGCCGGACTCTACTTCAAATATTTATGCCACACGCCGACATCGAATGGAATGAATGGAATGGAAGGAAAAGGGCAAAGGGCATCCAAAATGAACTTTGGACATTTCATCTAGATGTGTGCAGATGCGCGCATCTGGACAAATGTTGACTCTAGACTTTCTACTACGCTTTGATAACAATCCTCTTTGTATATTTTGTGAAAAAAAAAAACATTGTTTAGAGAATTGAAGGAAATAATTCGTGTTATATTAGGGAGAATATTTCTCAGCCACATTTATTGAGCGATTGCATCAAATAGTTGCATTCCATTCCTTAAATAACGAATGCGCCTTCAAATCGAACCATTTCAGATCTGAAGGCGCCTTCCCTAATTACTGAATGAAATGTTTCGGAAAGGTGGCGAATTTTCGGATCGTTTATAGCTCGGTGCCAATAATATTGACCTATTTGTTGCAACGGTCCTTGGGACGTTCAATTGAGAATTTTCTTTTGAGTTTATAGGGAACTCTGGCACCTCTCGATTATCCTTTACGTCGGTCACAATATTACGAGGGGTCTTTGTTAGTCCTGCGTCTTGGATGTATTTCTCAATCTCATCATAGCACCTCTTGAAAATACGGTGCGTCGCATCGATAGCAGTCACCGAAACTACATTGGTCATTAGAATATCGCACATTTTCTTACCATTCTTGGCTATTGTGAATTCGGCCATATTAAATAATCGCCTGCGCTCTTTGAAGCTCGTTCCTTGATTATCCGTTGACCTGAGTACATCTAACCGCGGGCAGATTATGACCACTTTTTTCCCAACTTTTCGCTGTTGCACGTAGCCCGGCAGGGAACAGTTGGCGGCTTCAACTGGCTGTGCAGGCGCCTCGATTGTTTCAGGTGTCTCCGCGAATGAGTTGCGGCCTTTCCGGCGTTTAATGACGTGTTGGGAGTTCGCAGCTGGAATCTTCTTCGAACCTGCTTTGCCTCTTAATTTGCTTAGCTTGCTTATCACAATTTGAGAATCTTCTCGTTTTTGTAATAGCCATTCGCTCTCTTCCTGGGCATCCGTTAGACGCCTCCGGAGTGTCTTTAGATTTATGGGTTCATTCTGCCCTGGATGGGGTGTCACTGGCCTGCAGTTGTGCAGTAAGCCGTAATCACGATCAGTTGCTCTAACGGCACTTAAATCTGTGCTGAATGATAGACTTCGTATGCGTTCGAATGACTGGAATGAATTAGATTCGATAGTAAGAACCGTGGAACGAGAGGAGCCCATCCTGATAACTCTAGCCGACCTAGCTTTGGACTGTACAGAGGCAGCAAATAACTAATAAACAAATATATTTTAAAATCTTTTTTATTTGTTATTTAGTTTTTTTTTTTTTTAGATTTTTTTGTTTTTTGTTTTAGTTTTATGTGTTGTGTGCTAGAACTGTTTTCAAATCTGAACTGCTTGCCCGGCCTACTTAGCGCAACAGAGTCTTTGAGCGGCTCGCAAAAGCTGACTGCTACGATGTCCGGTGAAGCACTGTGCGTCAAATGAGGCATTTAATTTCGGCTCACATTAACAGGATGCCATTGCATTCGTTAAATAATGAAAGTGCCTCCATCTTCATTCTTCTATACGGAATTTGGGGGCACTTTCACTCTTCAATGAATGAAATCGTTGTTTGGTGTTCACGATTGTTTTGTGAAGTCGACGCATGATGATTAAATGTTTCACGGCTCGTGTCTGAAGAATATTCTGAACGTCTCAAAGTGGTATTTTTCGATAGGCTTATGAGCTCATTGCGGGGGGTTTTCATCAAACCTTTAGCTTGAATATAGTTCTCAATTATATTTTGGTATGTTTCATCAGCTTGATACTTGGGCGCCAGCTCTATATCTTGTTGTCCTATTTGGATGTCCGACATTTTCTTACCGTTTCTAGCGATTGTGAATTCGGCCATGTGAAAGTCTCGACGGCGTTTTTTGAAGCTTTCTTTTGAATCTTCCGATCTTGTTAACCTCGCTATGGATAGATCGGGACAAATTAAGATAACTTTCTTTTTTTTAGAATGCTGTTTCACATGCTGATCGCTTGACGAAGCATTAGTTAAATGTTTTACTAATTTTCCGGGATTCAGAACAATTTTCTTTTTTGGGTGTGGTGTGCCGAACGAGATATAATCTGAAATTGAGCTTTCGCTGGATGAATCCTCCAGAAAACTCGTACTTCTAAGCACACGCTCCTCGGAACTCTGACGGTCACTGAAGCGTTTCATGGGAAGTGTGCCGTTCACGATATTATATAGCTTAGGATCTGGTGTTTCACTGTCGTGAAAAGGCGTTGCTTTGCTTGCTGTCTGATCTACGGCAATCTCAGACGGTGGATCAATGCCTATAGTCGCGAGCATGCTTTTTCTTTCCTCAATGAGACGCTCTGTAAGTGTACTTAGATCTTTAGTCCCGCTTACTCGAGGAAATGGTGTGGATGCTTGCACGGGATCCACTCGCATTAGCCCATAGTTACGAGTGGCCGGAGGTGAAAATGGAGCTGAATCAAATCGAAATAGTTTCTTGTCCTTGTTTATTACTTTTTTAAATTTGGCGCCTATTGTAGTAGAATCCGTTGATACACCCTCAACATGCTTTACTTCATCTTTCTCCATCTTTTTTTTTTGTTTTTTGTTTTTGTTTTGTTTTGTTTTATTTTTTTAATTTAACAAACTCAAGTTGTGTGTTAGAACTGTTTTGAAAACTAAACTTTTAGCTAGGCCTACTTGACTCCCTTAATTTCCTTGTTTTAGAAAGCTGACAAGAATTCAGAACTACGATATTATCTCCTATACATGAATTAATTATACAAGAAAATAAAAAACAAGTGCAAATTCAACTCTAGACACACTCCAAAAATATACATTTCTGTGAAATTTATTGAAACGACGTGCTTATAAACATTAAGATATATAATGTCTCGTTAATATGAATGGGGAATCATAATTTTCTTTCCTGTTGGCTTAACAGCTTCAAACAGTTTACATATCTGTATGAATGCCATATATTATGTATATTTCTTACTCATTATGCATTGCATGATTAGAATGTGATGGAGATTTCGGCAACCGTGTAGCTGAAGCTTTCAACATGGTAACTAGTCTCTTGGTTAGCTCGAAACTGGCGCCAGCTGAATCATAGGCGGGTTTCATTAGGCCCTTCTTAATGAATCTTTTCATTTCTGTTGCTATTTTATCTTCGTGGGTCTCAGTCAACCATAATGGCTGAATTGACTTTGCCATAAATACCTCGCTCATCTTTCTGCCGAATCTGGCTATTGTGAATTCGGCTGTATAAAATAGTCGACGTTGATCCTCAAAACTTAAATGCTTACTTGGTGGTATTCCTCTCTGGTTTTCCCGGCAGGTACTCTTACGGGGCACGATAACGCAGACCGTTTTCGTTTTTGGCCCGATCGTTTTATTCGTTGATTTCGGGCCAGCTGTGGGATGTTTAATGTGCCGTTCTTTTAAAATCGACTTCAATTCGGTAAATGACTCTTTCGGCTCTTCCAATAATCCATGTGCACTTGAGTTTAAGCTTGAGTCTAGAGAATTTGGCTTTGTATTTGCTTTAGAGATGTCCGTCTCGCTACCTTTATATCCCGCTAAGGATGTGTATGGAGTGGAGACTACGCTATTGGGTATCCGTTGCATTCCATAACTGCTGAAAGACCGTTCCTGCTGCACAGATATTTTAAATTTCAGTTTGTCTCGTAGGTCATTTGATTGGCTTCCAGATTTCAATGAAGATTTTTTTATTGTGTGGGTCGACATTGTGCAACTGCTTGAAGCAAAGATGAATTAAGTTGGCTCATCTAGTTTATCAGGCTGACCTTTCTAAATGTATATTTAAGTGTTTTCTGTATATTGTTTTATTTTTGTATTGTTGTTCTGTGTTGTTTGTTCCTACTGTGTTTGTAGAGTGTTTTCTATAGGGTTTTTGCATTCAAAATTTGTTTTGCTCGAAACGTGGCACTGCTTTCAATGCCTACGCAGCACTGCTTGAACTTTGAGCATTCAATACAAAAGCTAATTGCTACCAAACTCCCTCCGCTTGAGCTCCTGAATTGAAACCAAAACCAAAGAGAAGAGACCAAACCAATTTCTGTTAGATTTAAAAAAAGATTTAGATTTAGATTTAAAAAAAAGCTTTTAGATCATGTAGGATAAAATAAGAATGATATGGTGTCACCAGAACTCCCGTGTTAATGTTAAATTCTCTGTATCTGTGAAGCAATTGCTAGAAGTAAATGTTCTCATTTTTGGTTTTTCGATTGCGTTTTATTACACGATTTATGATAAGTAATCATACTTCGATTTACGCGATTATTTATAAGTGTAGTTTCTTTTTTTAGTATTTTTTTACTTGTGGTGAAATTGCATTGGAAAAATAGCGAGAATGTCTTCCAACCGGAGAGTCGACTCTCAATGCGAAAATATGCTCGATATTTTTGAAATGAAATTCACGCTTGATCACTTAATGTGTTTAAGTGGAATTGTAGTGAGTAATGTCGATCTCTTTTTGACCCATTCTGCTATATCCTGCTTCACACTGCTTAACATCTTTTTATTTACGTTTACGATTTTCATTTTCGATGTCCCCGGACTGCCCGAGAGGCCAAGTCGCTGAATATACAACTCAATTTCCTCTGTCGCCTCCAGGTCCTTTATTATTAGATTAGTATCAATCGTAACGCTCTTTGTTTGCTTTGGCATTATTTGGTCGCTCATTTTCTTGCCGTATCTGGCTATTGTGAATTCGGCCTTACAGAGCGTTTGTCGATGCTGGTTAAACTTGGATGTCTTATCGCTATTTCTGTGACTTATGCGTGGACTCACTAAGGTGACCCTCTTCTTATTTGCCATATCTGTGTCATTTTGCGGGTAGCGCCCTGCTAGTATAGATCGAAGACTTCGTAATCTTGGCGCGTTTTCGCTATCGGTCGAGCCATCGCTCCTAAAGCTAAGCTCATCGATTCGTTTTTTGAGTACTTTAGGATTCATGGCCACAGCCTTGTTGGGATGCGGTGTGCCAAGTGACAAATGACCAAACAAACGCCGTCTGTCCGAATCGTAGCTGAAATCCGAGGTTAAATTCTTCATAGTACTTGTCTCACTATTCATCTCATTTCTTTGTTGCGCCTGAAGACGAGCCGACAGCGCGCCCATATCAAGGCCTTCGTATTTTTTTGGATGTGGCGTCGAGGCGGTATTATTCACACGAACTAGGCCATAGTCACGGGTGGCCAACAGCACAGGTGCAATTGGCTGAAATTCAGTATTCTTTTTGCCACTTTTGACTCTGGCTTTGCTAGGACGGCTGAGTGAGCTAACTGTGGCTATATGACTCATTATACAGGCGATGCAGGAACTGGATGCAAATTGTTTGTCTGATCGTGAGATTCGTGTATTTTTTTTTTTTTTTTT